TATGTTTATTGCACAACGACAAATTAAAATATCCTTTGTTGTCGTCATAATTTAGGTAAACGAAGGTACAACATCAAGCTCTGGAAGACCTTCACAGATTGTTTTAACTGCCTCCCTATTGCTGCAATTGTGGACGAGAAGATCTTTTGCTGCCATGGAGGTAGGTTCTTGTTTTCACTTGTTCTCTGTACACAGTGTTATGTTTTTTGTGTGCATTATTTTCACAACTGTGGCGTATTAGAAAACTTGATGCGTCTTTGACGTAAGCTGCTCTTATTTGTCTTTGTGAAACGCTTCCTCTGCAGTTTGTCGTTCCATTTGGACTGACCCACATGTAACAGGTCGTGGCCCTTGTATTTGTTTGTTTATTGGTATCGCTGCCCTGTTTTTGCATCAAGGACTGTCACCTGACCTTCAGTCCATGGAGCAGATCAGACGCATCATGCGTCCCACTGACGTGCCTGACCAGGGCCTGCTGTGCGACTTGCTGTGGTCCGACCCGGACAAGGACGTTTTGGGCTGGGGGGAGAACGACAGGGGCGTCTCCTTTACCTTCGGCTCCGAAGTGGTAGCCAAGTTCCTGCACAAGCACGACCTGGATCTGATCTGCCGCGCCCACCAGGTAACTCCAGCGCCCCCTGTCTTTAGCAAACAGAAATGAGATTGTGTGAGAGCGCATTTGTACAAGGACATCGGATCCAGCGCAGGGAGTTGGCAGGCGTACTGTAGAGACCGAAATCGTGTTCCCAGTCGTTTTGTTTTCGTATACTTTTGGCCTATTTTTTTTTTTTTTTTGTATGTTAATGTTTGTGCCCAGTACAGCAAAATGTTTTTTTTTTCTTTCTTGGTTTTAAAATAAAATCAATTAAAAATACTGAAATGTGTAGGTTTCAGGAAAACCTCAAAAAACGAAACAAAAAAAAAAAAACAGGGCTTCAATTGGTCACCATCTAAAGGTAGAAGTCGATAAGTAACTTTTCATAAATTTACTAGGGCTGCATGATATTGGCAGAACATGAAATAATCCTTAATGTTGGTGAATGTTGCATGGCTGAATGACTTGCTGTAAATAAACAATAGCTGTGTTTCTATTAACCACATAATTGCTCAACTTGACGTTTTCAAAATAAATTTGCTTAACGGAACCACAATAATTAAAAAAAAAACATTTTCGATGAGGTGGATTTTTTTTAATTATATCAAAATAGGTTTATTTCTCAAAACTGCAATGCTAACACTTTTTTCACATCATGCGAGTCACATGATCAACGAGCTGTTGCCACTGATGCAAACCATGAAGAAGACAACAGGAAGTAGTTGGAGGATGGTGGCGTGGCAGGATTTTTAATAACTTGTCACATGAATAAACTTATTCACATTTAATTTTTGATTGTGTTTCTTATTTAATGGAAACAACGCAATTGTGAAATTGTGTTCTTTTGACATTAGTGACAGAACACAATTAGTGGAATATTGAAACTTATCACCATCCACAAGTTACATGATTCAGTTTTTACGTTCTTATAGGGCAGAACTTTTAATCTTGTCTGTCGTATCTCAGATTTTATTTATTTATTTTAATTTTTTTACTTTTTTGCAGGTTGTTGAGGATGGCTACGAATTTTTCGCAAAGAGGCAACTCGTCACATTGTTCTCGGCACCGAATTATTGCGGGGAGTTTGACAACGCTGGTGCCATGATGAGCGTTGATGAGACTCTCATGTGCTCCTTTCAGGTATCCGGCTTTTTTACGGCATAAACCATCAAAGGCAAATGACTTTTTTTCTCTCTCTCTCTTTTTGGACTTCAGCAGTAAAAGCGTGTCCATATAAACAACAGAAAAATGGATTCATAATATTTACTGATATTGCTCTCTGCTCCATTCTATGTAAATCAAAATTTCTTGTTTGGGGGGGGGAACTAAACAGGATGGCACTTTGAAGTCAGGGTACCAATCAAAATTCAATATGGCCGTCAAACATTAAACTGTGGCGTCATTATGTGAAATTTGACGTTTTTTGTCTCATTAGTCACACACTGTATTGTATCACATATTTAAAGTATTTGATTCATGTTTGCAAAAACTGAAGAAAAAAAAATTATAGAATCTTATTGCCGTTTGTTGCCACCTCATTAAAGGTGCAATATGTAATTTTTTATGTTTTGTACATATTTGTTGAAACTGTCATTATGTCATGATGGTACTGAATGAGACAAATAATCTATGAAAAAAAATCAAGCTTCTCTGCCTTCTCGCAGTTTCAACTAGAAACAACCAATCAGAGCCAGGAGGAGGATCTTAGTGCTGTTAATTATGCCCGTGTGTGTGCTGAACCTAGGAAACTCTGGGAGTAGTATTTAAATGGTGATTTGCAGAGTTATTTTCTGAAAAGGTTTCTGCGTTGTTTTTTCCTGCAGATTTTAAAACCAGCTGAGAAGAAGAAGCCCAACGGCAGCCGTCCTGTGACTCCCCCCCGCAACATGGTCACCAAGCAAGCCAAGAAATGAGGGTCCACACTGCTGGGGGGACCAAATGGCCAGAAATGCATTCTTCCTGGTCTGCTTTCATCTTCTGCATTCAAAGGATTGGTTATTTTTCACGCTGCCAATACCGCAAAGATATCCACTCCTACTTGATGAAAGCAAAGATATTTTATTGTTTTCCTGTCCACAGGGGTAAATTGATACGTCACCATGGAAAAACCTCAGGTGTTTTGCACTCCATTTTGCAGCTAGTCTTTGCCACATATGACTGTTCAATCAGGAAAAATGTAATAATATGGCTACTTATGCACAGGAATGCCTTGTTTGAAGCTGTGCACACTTTTTGTTTTTTTCCAAGTTTATTTTATGTCTTTCCTTTGTCATTTCATTCACCTGTAATTATTAATAGCTTATAAAAAGATTGAGGAAAGCCACAGACACAAGTTTTGTCTGTAATCTTTATTTACAGTTAATTTACTCATAATTTCATAGAGAATTGACTACACTGCATCACATTTTTAAATAAGTCTTGTGCTAAATTAAAAACGATAAACAAGCACTATTGTAATGTCTAAATCTTTCTAATAAACTCCGGTGTGTTTTAGGATGGAAATTGATAATTGAATGTTGTTTGTTTCTAAGGCTTTTATTCCTCTTAAACCTAATAAACAGAAAATACAAAGAGAAGTTGTATATTGTAACGTACTGTGACCATCAAAATACGTTTTGCGGGTTTTGAACATTGAGAAAGGAGAAAAATATTCTGCCAAGTTCAAGTTTTTCAAAATTCTTTTTAATTGAATTTTTTTTTTTTTTTAATTCCTTTTTTTTTTTTTTTTTTTTTTTTTAAGTCATCGATTTCCAGTGTTATATTTGGCAACATCTTCTGCCTGAGTTCGATAAAGGACAGAACGTTGTGTTTCCATATTAGGAAACGTTGATTTGGTAATAACCTCTGACGTCAGAGCAGTCACAAGACCGTGCGGTCTGAGGCCACACAGCAGCTGCTCCACAGTCTCTCTCTTACGCAGTGTCTCGGAGGCAAAGTGGCAGCATGGCCGCTCACAACCAACCCTCGCAGGACTTCAACAGATGAAGAAACCAATTTCTTTGAATTTCTTTCTGCTTACAGCACCACAAAAAAAAAAAAAAAAAAACAGCTTCGGGAGACTACATCTACTGTCGGCGGGAATTCGTCTTTATGCGCGGTGGTTGTTTTCGGCGGCGGCAGCAGCAGCAGTTCTTCAGCCTGGTTCGCCTGTCAAACTGCGTGCTTACATCGACGCTAAGCTAGCTCAGCTGCTAGCTTGGCCGGTTTGTTTCGTTCGGAGCTGGTGCGTAGGTGATGTTGTCCGTGCTGTCTTACGGTAGACTTGTTGCCAGAGCTGTCATCGGCGGGCTTTCTCAGACAGACAGCCGCGACTACAGCCTGGTGACGGCGAGCTGCGGCTTCGGCAAAGACTTCCGCAGAGGCATCCTGAAGAAAGGGATGTGTTATGGGGACGACGCGTGCTTCATCGCCCGGCACAGGTCCGCCGATGTTTTGGGTAAGTGTCTGCTCTTTTGTTTGTTCTAGAAATTATATTGCTACGCACGCAGCATCATTCTTCACTTAACAGCATGTAACTACAGGTTGAAACGTGTAGGGTCACTTTTCTTTTTGATAAAGACTGGGTTAATTTGTGTGAAACCTGAACAGCATGGAAATCCAAACCGGCTGTTTGTGGAATCAGCACTGGGACACAGAAACCTTGATCTGTGTGGACAACCTGTCATTTAAGTCTTGTGGGACTCCCACCACCTAAGCTGATTGTATGTGCTGACACCCGCAGAGTTGATCAGGTTGCCAGATTTAACTTGCAAATTGGAACACCTTCAACACAAAATCGCATTGTTTTTGGACCGGCTTGCTTCATTTTTTTTTTTTTTAAGTTGCAGGCTCCTCTCTATTATCTGACTCTGGGTGGGAAGATGCAGTGGGACTGTCCATGTATGGTCAGCAGAACAGATTCTGGTGTCTTGAGCCCAGAAACCTTCCTTTCTGGGCAAATCTTGGATTCCCACCATAAAAGCTCTTACAAGGCAAAACTATAAAACCCAATACACACATCAGTCCTAATAAATAAATTAAAATTTGAAGAATTTAATTGCATCTCTGCTCAAAAGTATTCATGCCTGTTGAACTTTTTTCACATTACTACCACAAGCTGAGATGTTTTGATTTGCATTTTTTGTGTGATCGCACAACATACCAAGTGAAGTAGAAGTAAAATTGATGGTTTCGATTTTATAATGTGTGTCGCAAAACTATACATCGCAATGACCACACATGATGAAACATGGTGGTGGCAGAATTATGCTGCGAGTGCTTGATATGAACGTGGGTGGAGATTGGATCAGAATGTCTTTAGATGTGCAAAGCTGATAGACACGCAATGAAAAACTTGCTATATTTTCAGTGAACTCTATAATCTAGCTACAGCTGTGGACTTTCACTGAGCCTGAGCAGAAATAATTTTAAAATGCTCTAAATGTTAACTGCCTCACAAATCTGACTCTATCCAAACATCTATTTTTATTTTCTTGCATTTCAGTGCTTGTTTGGATTACATAACTGTCTCACCTGTTTGCCTTTTTTTAGGTGTAGCAGATGGAGTTGGTGGCTGGAGAGACTATGGTGTGGACCCGTCGCAGTTTTCCAGTACACTGATGAAGACGTGCGAGAGGCTGGTGAAGGAAGGACGATTTGTCCCCAGCAACCCGGTGGGAGTCCTTACGACCAGCTACTACGAGCTACTACAGAACAAAGTGCCTCTACTGGGTGAGCAGGAAAAAACATTTATTTTGGTATCGTGGACAATATGTTGTCTTGTATTGGCGTTTTTATTATTCTACAGAATAAGGACAAACCCCACCGTGTAGAAACAGGACACCACTGGCATCAGTTGACGGGGGTTCAGACTGTAACCACCGCTGTGTGCAGACATGCGCCGCCTTACAGTGAAAGAGCACATTTCCATGTGGTTTAGATCTGAGCTACATTATACGGGCCTAGGCGGTTTTCATCTGTTTGGTTTATTGCTGGCTGGGCTGAGATTTTTGCATTATGACTCACAACAGCCAGATCCCATTAAGAAGTCCTAGGAATGTCCCAGCCAGTATCCCTTTCCTTCTCCATGGTGTTGCCTCAAAACAAACCCCAGCGCACGCGATCTAACATCAGTGAAGGAGCGTGACAAGGGAACAGATCTTTGTCTCGGCGAACGTCGGTAGTTTTCCAATGAGAACCCGGCAGCAGAGCCGGGGAACACAAAAGTTTGGATTGTACTGTCCTTTGCACAGCCGGAGGGATGCCATTGAGGCAGGCGGCGTGTGTAATTGTTTAGCTGCAGAGAAAAGTGAGTCAGAGCGTGTAAAGGCTGGGGGAGTTTGAAGGTTGATCCCAGAGAGAATATTTTGGTGTTCCGGATGAATCACCAGCAGGGAGTGGCCTCACGTTGTCAGCCTGCTCGAACAACTCTGGTTTCCTCCTTTTCACTCTCCCGCAGAGGGGAGTTTACCAAAATGTGTGTGTGTATATATATAAATATGAAAAAAAAAAATTGTGAATTTCAGAGTGAGTTAATTTGTCTCCTAAAGGCATACATTGAATAAGTTCTTGTATAAGTTCAATTGTACTGGAAAAAATTGTATTCACCTTTGATGAGGGGAAAAAAGTTTTTAATAACTTTTGATCTTCAATGCCTCAAGACGGCTCCGTATGATTCTGTGGTGATGGTCAAACTTTTTGCCCCTGAGACCAAAACTGGCAAATTTAAACTACTTGCGGGACACAAAATTCACTCAATTTGCAATGCAAAAGTAAGTTTATTGTGACTTTTCTTTTTTTAGTTTCACCTACTCAATAATAAACACTATTTCTTCTGAAATCTATAAATCCTTAAAGTTCCAAAATGCACAAAAAATACTTCAGACTGTTGCCTTACTAAATGGAAAAACAGACAATTTAATTTAAATTTCAGCATTTTCTATATTGCCCTATTTTACCATTCTTGATTTGTGGTCAGAGGGCCGATCAAAATCATTTCAGGGGCCACAGGTTGGACAGAACTGACCTACAGCCAATAGAGTTTATTTTCATCTCTTCTTAGGAGTGGTCGCAATGCTGGTCAACATTTTTGTTTGTAAATTCTATAGAAGTGACTTTGTGTGTGACTGTCTGTAGGTAGCAGCACCGCCTGCATCGTGGTGTTGGACAGGCAGAGTCACCAGCTGCACACAGCCAACCTGGGAGACTCGGGTTTCCTGGTGGTCCGGGGCGGGGAGGTGGTCCACCGCTCAGACGAACAGCAGCACTACTTTAACACACCCTTCCAGCTGTCCATTGCTCCTCCCGGGGCGGAGGGAGCCGTGCTCAGCGACAGGTGAGCCGCCCAGCACAAGCTGCACCTCACCTGTGTCCATTATGTGCTACACAAAAAGATGACCTACAGTGAGACTGGCTGATAAAGAACTCTAAACTTTTTGTTTTGTTTTGTAAAAACAAACTGGATAAAAATTCATTGGATACTGCATCGTGATGTTTTTTGTCGATCATAATTTAACCATAGTTTCCCTTACATAAAAACGGTTAAACACAGTCAGCACAGATTTTCTCTGCATTAATATTAATAGTAGTACTGGCACTGACAATTGAGACTTCATCTGTGTCTCTGATCTGGACTTTGGGGGTTGATGAGGAATCATAGGTTACTTGTTACTCTGGATTTTGGTTTTTTACTTGGAGGACCGAAACTTCAGCTTAGAAGTTTTGCTAATGAGAAAATCACTCTGCTCAGTGAATATTGCGTGGGCAATCTTTTTTTGCATAATGTTGTTTTCCTTTAGTTTTTAACACCTAGTTTTTCCTTTCCTTACTGGTTGCAGCACCATGTTGTTTTTATGCTGCATTTTAACATGGATTTGTAAAAAGCGAGAGAGCTATAAGGCGTTGGCATTTTTTCAAGACTTGTTGGGACTTTGCTGCTGCAGCGCAGCCTTCGACACCCTGCTAACTAATAGGTGGTATGCGTTGCAAACGCGACAAAAGAGATTATCTGAACGGAACCGCTCAGCAGAGCTTTTCGGTCTAGCCTGCGTGTCCCACATGTAGCGCTGTAGCGGCGGGTCAGGGGCCACGTGCTGCGGGGTCTCGTTGCTGTGGCGTGCCAAGCAGCAGCGCTGCAGACGTCAGTGGAGATCAGGATGTTTGCCAAGCTTTCCCTCTTACCCAGGTCAAAGTCTGTGTGGGCTGATGACGGGCAAAACGAAGAGTCCAGAGTCGGTCCTGCTGCCAGCGGATTCAGTTCCCGTTTCATTTGCTCATCCTTGATCCACCAGATTATTTTTAAGACTCTTTAAAGGTGATTCTTAGAAAACTGGCAAAACGTGAAGCACAGATAAAGGTGGGCTGCGTGGCTTTCAGTGACTCTAATGGAGCTGGATTTAGTTTCTACCCGTCTTTTTGTTCTGCTGGGGCTGGATGATACGGCTGAAAAACTGATATAAGCGTTTCCTTTCAGTACATTGATAATTGTTGATTAGTTTGTTTTAAATATTTGAAATTTTCTCAAACTAGTGGCGTGACCTTTCCAGTTTTCACTCCAAGCCGTTTTTACTTATTTTTTTATTATTATTATTTGTAAGCAGTTTTGATGCTGTTAAACTGCTGCTGTGCGTGTTACTTAAGTTGTTGCTAGGTAACCAGAGAGTGAGTAAGTTGATGTCACTCACCTTGCTTGTCTGGTACTGAGCGGTTCAGTGGCTCAAGTCTTTCCTCTGCCTACATCCCCCAGAATGCTGTGTGGTTCTGGATCGGAGTTCAGTGAATATTCTATATATATCATCGCCTCCCTAAAATAATGATCCAAGTCATTTATTGCCAATATCTTTATTTTTAATTTTTTTACCAAAATCACTTGAGGGAAGGAAATGAGGGGATTGTCCTATGATCTGGGAATTTCAGTCTTCTTACTGAAGATTTAACCAGCAGATGTTTCTTCAACAGTAGATCAAACATCTAGTTGAGTAACAGCAGCAGGTCAAAGCTGAAATACGTGAACACGAAGATCCGCCGAATTAAAGTCAGACTTTGCATATTAAACCGTGACGTTTATATCAACCATTTTTCCTTCTATTAGGAAGCTGTGCACACTGTTATTGTTTCTGCTTCATGATGATTTTATCTGCATACAGTTGAACATGAGGATCGGGTTAACGTGGTTTGTTCTTTCTGGCTTCATGAAAACTGACTTAGCCTTAGAGAGTATTGGTAAAATGAGAATAATCAGGGTTTTTTTCTTTTTCATATCCATCCATTGCTGCCAACACTGAATATCCCACCATCCCCTTCTGAGCCTTTTTGTCACCCCCACTTCATAGATAATGCAGCACAGGGCAGGTTGTTCCTGGGAGCTATGTCTCACTGTGTCCTGATGCAGTCCAGACACCTTTTATATTGAATCATATTCATAACTGTGTGGCGGGTTTGCAGCAGAGTGGGAGCATCTGCCAAGAAGCGAACATGAGACTGGTAGTCTCTCTGCCACTCTGGCAATCAAAGCACTTGATGTTGTACTAGACCACGCTGTTCTTTTTAAGATCCTTGGATACATTTTACTTTTAAAGTGAGATTATGTTTTCATAACCGAGGTGAATCTGTGTAATTACAAATGACGCAACTGAATTTTTTTTTTCCCCAGAATAGAAGCTATGTTGTAGAGTACTACAAACTAGTTTGTAGTACTCTGTATGAAACTAAAGAGTATCAAAGACTAGACTGACGGTATTCCTTGTCTGAATCTGTGTGCTTGCAGCCCAGAATCTGCTGACAGCTCCTCCTTTGACGTGCAGCTAGGTGACATAATCCTCACCGCCACCGATGGGCTGTTCGACAACATGCCTGATTATATGATCCTCCAAGAGCTGAAAAAACTGAAGGTAAGTGACAAACATGGCTGCTGCTGCTGCTGAGTCTGAATCCAGAAGAAAAACCTAACGCTCACTTTTTTTCTTTCCCTTTCTTTTTGTTCGTTTATTGCTTCCTCAGAACTCAAACTATGAGAGCATTCAGCAGACGGCCCGCAGCATCGCAGAGCAAGCTCATGTACTGGCATATGACCCCAACTACATGTCACCTTTTGCACAGTTTGCATGCGACAACGGACTGAATGTCAGAGGTAGGTTTCTTTTAAAGCGGTATAGCTTTAAACTATTTTGTAGTTTAAAGCTGCAGTATATACAGCATTGCAACCGACTACACAGTTTCAGTGTTGCAATGTTGCAGTAAGACTGCTTGGCGACGGTATTGGTTGAGTTATTATATTTCATGAGTCAGGCAATAAAACTCATATCAACCAATCTGATCGCTTCAAAACAACCTCACCTTCCTGTAAGGAATGAGGAGATCAAATGAAAGTTGGTGTACAGCCTACAGACTAAATGAAGAAGAAAAATGGGAGTGGCACAGGAGTCTGAGTCATTTTACCAGGAGTGGGATGGGACAGGAATTTTTGATTTTACTTTGGACCCCCCCAGTCTAAATGAACCACAGTTGTATCACTACATTGTAGAAAACTGTTATTTACTTAAAACATCTCGCCAAAGCTAAAAATAAAATTTTTCACATTCACACTGAAGAGTGTTGTTGACACTGCTTAGTATTGTACGTTTACTTTCATCAGTCAGGGACAGTCAAATTGAAATTGGCCGATTTTGGTCCTCTGCTGATTTTCTACGTGCAACATGAGTCGTGTCTTTTCCAGAGAAATGTCACACAACGTTAACATTTGCTCTTTGTGACGGCTTAGACATTTTTATCTACCACCATCCTGTTTTTTTGTTTATTTGTGCAGGAGGAAAGCCAGACGACATCACAGTGCTGTTGTCCATCGTGGCAGAATACACAGACTAGAACCTGCAAGCCGGGACGTCGCTAATCTGCCTCTGGAAGCGATGAACTGCTTCAATTCCTGCTGGCCAGGATGTAGGTTTGACATCTGATGCTTCCTCCACATCTACAGGATCCACTCTGCTGAAGAGCCGACCCAAACGCCCTTTTTGTTCTCCCATAAAAAGTACCGCCAGATAGAGGTCAAATTATGCAAACGAGAGGCCTAAAACACACTTCTGTCTCAGTTGGACTGTTGGCATCTTTGTAGTTTTCCACTGCTCACTTGCTAATCCCATTGCCAAGGATCAGTAGTCATTGGTTGGAAATGAAGCATCCAGTTTGAGGTCAAGTCCCTCTCTTTTCTGATGGGAGGCTGGGGTGAGGAGAAAGTCCAGGCTAGGATGTAGCCAACGGCTGCCGCCCGAGTCTCCATAAGGGAATAAAACGTTCTTAGGCGTACAGAGAGAATGGCGGCTTTAGGGCTCAATAACCAAGCTGCAGTTTGTAGATGTTTCAAGACCTTCATGGAAAGTTGTGGAGTGTTTTCTAGGAGCATGGAGCAAAAGTTAAACAAGACGGTGTGTTCAGAGTCTACAAAAAACCCCAGTTTATGTGACAATGACACACCTGTCGGCGGGCTCATCTTTAAGATTTCACATCGAGCGGCAGCTGCCTTTTTCTTACTGGTGCGATTGGAGTCCAGCGCATGTTTCGTTACCGAGCGGGACGGAGCATTTATAGTCAGAAAGCCTCTTTGGACGCATGCAACGCACATTATTTGTCAAACCGATGTCCTCCCTTTAATCTTACAGCTGCTGGTGAAGTCTTGACAGTAATTTTGTGTGAAGTGTGTATGGATGCGAGTGTGACGGATGACTGGTGTTGTTGAGTTGGATGTCAAGGCGCCGGACTAACTCCACATCCACTGGACTTAATGGGTCTGGCATCCTTAAACGCACACAGCTAAAAAAAAAAAAAAAAGAAAAAAAAAAAAAACTCTAAATTGGGTGGGGTGCCAAAAAAAAAATATTTTTTTAATTTTTTTCGCTTTTTGGGGGA